ATATGCCATGATTCAATTTTAATGTTTTTTTTTTATAACAGTTGAAGTCTAGGAATTGCCTCCTACAATAACTTAGGGTCATGTGGTCTTCCCAGCTATTAAAAATCCATTGGATGAATGACTGCTTTCTTACTTGGGAGAAAGAATTGGGTGCCTGTAGTTTATTTGGCAGAGATTTTAAGTAAGATTTCCTAGAAACAACCTAAAATGGTTACTTGCTTGCATGTGACTTATTGGAGTGCAATCAGAAGAGACAGGGAGTGGAGGGAGGAAAGAATAGGCAAGAAACTACGCAAGAATGGGGTTCCAGGTGAAATCTAGTTTCAGCTTCATCCTACAAGAAACTGGGGAGTATAAAGTACACTGCAGACCTGTCTTGCCTTGAAGCAAGGGAGTAGAACTTCTGTACATTTGCCCCAATCAATTATTGGTCACACACAGTTCATGAAATGGGAGGTTGGCAGAACTTCCAGGAATCTCTAGCCCCAGAGGCTTCAAACATACAAGAAAAATCCTCCAGAGAAAGTTGCAGGCATGGCCCATTATTCCCAGCTGTGGCAACTAGGGTGGTGGACATAACAACCAAAGTGGGAAAAGGGATCTCAGACTCAGCAATGTCTGCCACGGTCTACCTCTTGCAGTGTTCAGATCCATGTGCTTTATACATTGGGTTCATTCTATCCTATCACGGCTTCTCCAGGATTCTGGTCAATTACAACTTCTGGCAAAAATGTAAGGAAGGAGGGTGTGGGAGAGGAGCTATAGCCTCTGCTGCTGTAGCTGGACCCAAGGCCGTCAGTGATATTCAGCATCTCTCTACTCCACTTTCCAATCTAGAGTCTCCTCATCCAGGTTGTCCTTCTGCTGGTCTAGGTGCCTTATCTGGTAGGATGACTCAATCCTCATCTGTGAGGAGCCTGAGCTCCTGACTACCATGCCCTTATCAGATATAGTTCCATTTATAGTTAAAATTACATGAGAGGGGCGCCTGGGCGACTCAGTGGTTGAGCGTCTGCCTTTGGCTCAGGTCATGATCCCGGGGTCTTGGGGTCAAGTCCCACACTGGGATCCCTGCAGGGAGCCTGCTTCTCCCCCTGCCTATGTCTCTGCCTTTCTCTCTGTGCCTCTCATGAATAAAATAAAATCTTAAAAAAAAAAAAACAAAACAAAACTGCCATGAGAGTCTCAAGAGACTCCTTAGTGGATCACTCAAGTACCAAACATTTCTTTTCTTTAAAAAAAAAAAAAAATAGGGTAGCCCCAGTGGCACAGCGGTTTAGCGCCGCCTGCAGCCCGGGGAGTGATCCTGGAGCCCCGGGATTGAGTCCCACGTCGGGCTCCATTGGAGCCCGCTTCTCCCTCTGCCTGTGTCTCTGCCTCTCTCTCTCTGTCTCTACGAATAAATAAATAAATAAATAAATAATCTTAAAAAAAATAAAAACAAAAAAAAAGATTTACTTATTCTTATCTAAGAGAGAGAGAATACATAAGTGTGGGGAGTGGAAGAGGGAGAGAATCTCAAACAGACTCCCCACTGAGATCAGAGCCTGATGCAGGGTTCAATCTCAAGACCCTGAGATCATGACCCAAGGCTAAATCAAGAGTCATACATTTAAACAACTGAGCCACCCAAGTGCCCTGCAAGTCCCAAACACTTTTTGCCGGTCCCCACTGTGCAGCAGCAGACCTGTCTCCTCATGATTATCCAAGTCAATTTCCTTCACAAGGTGGTAACCCCTTTCTACTGGTACAAAGAACCCAAAGTGGCAAAGTGGTAGTCATGGTATTAAGTTCAGTGGGACTTTTTGTTCCCTGGTAGAAGTATCCTCTTTCTGGAAGGCAGGTATACAGCCATAGGACCTAAAGTTACAGAGACAAAAAAACAAATTCTTCCAACAGCTTTCTGACATTGATGGTGAGTGGGGCTTCTCCTACTTCTATTCTCTGGTTCTCAGACCCATTGTTGACTGGGGACATAGCACTATATAATGATTGCTGGTTTAAGGAATAAAGAAACATAGAGACCTATCCTCACAAAATATCATCCTAGCAAGATACTCATTCTTTACCAAGGCACAGTAGCATACCTAGAGATGCTTTTTAAATTTTTTTTTTTTAATTTTTATTTATTTATGATAGTCACATAGAATGAGAGAGAGAGAGGCAGAGACACAGGCAGAGGGAGAAGCAGGCTCCATGCACCGGGAGCCCGACGTGGGATTCGATCCCGGGTCTCCAGGATCACGCCCTGGGCCAAAGGCAGGCGCCAAACCGCTGCGCCACCCAGGGATCCCTAGAGATGCTTTTTAAATGATTAAAAGAGTTTATAGAGAAATAACCAGAAGAGATTATGAAACATCTCACAGTCACTGATAAAACAAGCCAAGTATCAGTACAGATATAAAAGATCCATACTCTGCAATGAAAAAATGTTACCTATTTATACATTAAAAATTGATATACATGGGCAGCCCAGGTGGCTCAGAAGTTTAGCGCCACCTTCAGCCCAGGGTGTGATCCTGGAGACCCAGGATCGAGTCCCACATTGGGCTCCTTGCATGGAACCCGCTTCTCCCTCTGCCTGTGTCTGTGCCTCTCTCTCTCTTTCTGTGTTTCTCATGAATAAATAAAATATTTTTTAAAAAAAGAAAATTGATACACAATTTTTAATATACATAGAAAATTGTAATCAACAACTTCAGAATACAGGGTTTTTTTTTTTTTTTTTTGCCCAGTGCACACATGCAGAATTCTTTAGAAGACACAGGAAGCAGGAGTCTAAGATCTGGCCTCTGTACTAGAATAAATAACAGATACAATCATGCCTGTCTTGCCCTTCTGTTCCAATTCCACTCTCCTATTGAGTGCTGGGGGAAGAGGGTTGTTTAGTCAGAGCATGAGATCCTTTTACTTTGGGAACTATGAGTAAAATATAGGAGCCATATTTTGGAGGAGACTCAAAGGTCTAATTTATTACACTCGATTCCAAAATAGGTTACACGTTCCTAGAGGTGAGATGGCTCTAGATGAAACAGCATTTGGGGGGGGGGGGAGGCGGGGGGAGGAAGACATGCTACAAGAAAACGAGAAGACAAGGAAAAGCATATCAGGCAAAAGTTTGATACACAGAAATGACACCGAGAAATTCCTGAGATGGAATGTGGATATCTGGTGAGGAATTTTAGCTTGTCCCCAGAACTTATAAGACATTCTAGGCTATGTTCCTCTGTTTTCTTAAGCTGTTTCATAGATAGTAGTAGCTTCCTTTGTATCTTATTTTTGTATAAGGCATATCTTGTCTTCAAAAATATATGTAACACATATGGAAAAAACTCTGGAAAATTAAACATCAATGCTAATAGCAGTTATTTATAAGTGGGATCTGTGATCTTTTTTCTTTTTGCTTATTTGTATATACTGACTGGCCTAAAATAAACAAGCATACATTATATTTGTAATTCCTTTGTTTCTGCACATCACAGTACAAACCTTTTTTTTTTTTTGACAGAACCCAACCTCAAAAGCCCACAGACCTTACTTTGATCTTGAATCCAAAAATCTGAAGCCTAAATCACTCGCAAGTCCCAGAACACCATCTTGTGATGGAGTTGCAATCATAGCAACTGTGTTTTCTGTTAGTTGGATCTGAGAACATGTAAGGCTTGAAAGCACGGTGTGATTATAAAGCAATCTTGAGTTTTCACCCTACAAACACCCAAAACTTATACATTCAGGAAGTATTGTCTTTCAAAGAAGCCACTCTGCTCACATCAGTTCTGGAGTTCCTCTGATAAAATTGTCTTCAGAGCTGAGTTAGTAATGCCGAAAGAAAATCAATTTCATTATAATTCACAAAAACTCCTTAGTCTACAGTCTTACTCCTCCTTTTGCTCCTTGTCTCACTTCCTTCTTTAGCTAAGTTTTATCCCTCCCTTCTTTGTACTCTTTATTTTTACTGCTATTGTGTTTGACTAAGACTTCAAGGACCTATTGCTGAAAACCTGGGGAAGAGTGTGGGAAAGGTTCTGAGGCTTATAAAGACTGGGATCTGGGGGGGAGGGGGGAGTGGAAGGGAGTAGACAGTTGGATTGTGAAGCCCAAAGCCGAAAGGTGACATTATAATTTATCACCCTATTCTGGAATACTTTTGAGAGTGAAAGGTGACACGATTAACAATTACGCCAGGTCAACCAGGATATGCACTTAACCCTATGGATTTAGGGAGCAAGTCAGGAAAGGCAACTGACTCATATCTGTCCACTTGGTCCGCTTTTAGGGCCAGCAATGGGTGTAACTGGCCTGAGGCCATAAATGTGAATTGCCGGATATAGAGAATGGCTTCTATTTGAGGATAGAGCTGTCATTACATTTGATCATTGGGACAGATTCATGTTTAATTTAAGGAACTCTCATTTGGTAAGAAACAGTTACATTGAATTTCTTGGAATTACTCCTTATACGTTATTAAGATTTTATGACCACTTACACACTTGTGGATACTCCTTACAAATGAAAATATTTTCTAGGTATTGTAACAGTCCCACTCACCGGCCTATTTTCTGTCACCGTTGAGGACTCCATTATAACCCTGGGATTTTCACATCTCCTTTCCTCAAAAGGCTAATAAAAGATTAAACAACCAACAAAATCCCTCTAATTGTGTGATCATCCAGTCAGCTGTTCCTTCATTCGCTGCCCTATAGTCTGTTCCTTTGTCTTGTGTTTCCCAACTTTGGAAAAGCTACAAACTCATTGAGTTTGTTGGCTTTTCCACTTCAACTGTTTATTGGGCCAAATCTCACTCATTCCCATGGGAATTGGCCTATAACACAAGTGCCCACACCATATATGTTAAGCACTGCTTCATTCTTTAAGCCGCTGTTCATCCATAACACACATTTTACCCAACTCAAAAGAAATCGATACACTGTCTCTTTTGATGGTTTCCAAACTAACTCTCCTATCCTACATACTTCTAAAAGAATGTCAGTTCAGCAGAATAAATTCCACAAAAATTTATTGAGCTCCTCTTACTAGTCGGAGCACTAGTGAAATACAGGCGCAATCACACATTTCCTGACCTCGAGGCTCCCGCGTCCTTGTAGTAGGTGTCAACAGAGTCACAATAGATTGTGCTAAATGCTGTAGCAGAGGAACATATGCACAATGGTGGAACAGTGATAAAACAGAGAGACCTAGGAGATCAAAAGTGTTGGTAGGCAGGGAGTTAGAAAAGGCCTCCTTTAGGAAATATTTGTGTTGAGTCTGGAAGGTTGAGTAGGAATTTTCTAGGGAGAAAGAAAAATAAAAAATTTTGAGCCCCTTCTATGGATCAGATACATAGATTATTTAATAGTCTCTATACACAAAACTTACCAGTTTTTTATTATTCAAGTTTTTAGTGTCAAGAAAAATAAAAAAGATGAAGCCATTTGTTCAAGGTTTCATAGTGAGTGGGCTATGGAGACTGATTCAAACTCTGTATGTTTGATTCCAAGATAGTGCGTGCTCTTTCCATTGTACCATACTGCCTTCCAGCAGGGCAGAAGGGCATATGATTAGTAATTTTTAATGCTGTATGATGCTTTATAAAGTTTAAGGACAGGCAAAACTTACCTATGATGAGAAGTGTCTACATTTAGCAGAGATGATATCTAGGGAACAGGAAGGGGATTTTTTGGGGTGCTGGGCAGGTTTCACAGGTGTCTATACATCTAAAAATTCATTGAGCTGTACACATAAGAGTTGTGCACTTTACTATCAATTATACCTCAAAATATAAATAAAAACCAATTTGTTATGTGCTATGCCTTTTATAGGTCAAGAAAGCTTATCTCTAGATCCTTATAATCCCCTTTTTTGACCAACAGTCTGCTTATTTTAGATACTTATTTTTCCCTGAATAAAATGGATTAATCATAGGTAATGACAGTGCATCAATCTTGCCTCTCGAGTATAGCTTTATTATAATCTGCTTCCTCAACATTCCTGACTGCTGAGGTCATAAAACTGTGGATTTTAAGAGATGAAGAGTTGCTTTGACACTTCTACAGGGGGTGCCACATGATCCTTTTGAGATTCTTTTTTTTTTCCTTTTGAGATTCTGATGAAAGGGAAAACCATAGACCTCTTCTCCTGAAATGTACATACGCACACTTTGTACAAGATTTTGAGATTACCACAACACTAAGGACCCACCTAGCCCCACTAGGATCTCAAATTCAGATCCTCGGAGCTAGCCCAAACCTTTTTCCCACAGAGGAACAAAGGAGGCCCAAGGAGGGAGAGCCGCCTGTGTAGGTGCAGAGAGGAGACAACCCAAGGCTTCCGAGGCTCAGACACTTAGGCTCTTCGCCCCACTGCCTCTGCAGGTATCATAGATTTCCTTTGCTCTATAACCTCCATGCGTGGAGACTCTGAGATCCCAGGAACTTCCGTAATACCTTGTATCCCCCTTTTGTAACTGGAATCACATCAGAAGCTAGTCAAAGTTTACCTTGTACTTCCTGGAGAACAATAGGTACAAAGCGTAGCTGGGGACATTTGTCTTTTTTTCACAGACTTCCTCAAAACCGGAAGTGAGGTTAAAATTAAAATGTCCCAGTGAGGGCAGCCCCGGTGGCTTAGTGGTTTGGCGCCACCCTCAGCCTGGGGTGTGACCCTGGAGACCCAGGATAGAGTTCCACATCGGGCTCCCTGCGTGGAGCCTGCTTCTCCCTCTGCCTGTGTCTCTCTGCCTCTCTCTCTCTGTGTGTCTCTCATGAATAAATAAATAAAATCTTAAAAAAAAAAAAAAAAAAGTCCCAGTGATCCCTGGGTGGCTCAACGGTTGAGCACCTGCCTTGGGCCCAGGGCATGACCCTGGGGTCCCGGGATCGAGTCCCGCATCGGGCTCCCTGCATGGAGCCTGCTTCTCCCTCTGCCTGTGTCTCTGCCTCTCTCTCTCTGTGTCTCTCATGAATAAATAAATAAAACCTTAAATAAATACACTCAGGGGGGCACTAGGCAGAATGAGCACTGGGTGTTATGCTATATGTTGGCAAATTGAATTCCAATTTTTTCAAAAAAACTCTCAAATAAATAAAAAAATAAAATGTCCCAGTGAAAAAATTTTTCTTTCTTTTTTTGTTTTTTTGTCTTTTGTTTGTTTTAGCGAAATCAAGTCTAAGGCACGGCCTACATTTAGGCTCTGAAATTTAAGGCTTTGCTCGGCATTTGCTCTAACAACTGAAAAGATCCCGTTTGAACTTCACTGCGCTCTGAAAAACCTTTCAAAGGTCTCTCTGACCAAAAAAAACAATGAAAATTCCCACCCGGACCCGGGAAGTCTGTCCGATTTGTGGCCGCCTCGGTCTTTCAGTCTGGAACAGGATTCCTACTTGCAATCCAAACAGAGGCTCTGAGGCGGCCCGGAAGGCCTGACGGAAAGGCGCTCAGGCTGCGGCCCGGCGACCCCCCCAGTGGGAAGCGCCATAGGCCGTTTTCCTTCACGACCGTCGGGCGTCATCTCGTTACCGCCCATTTTACACAGGGAGCAAACGGGTTTTCCAAGGTCAAGTAACTTGGTCAAGGTCACAGAACTCGAGTCACGAAACTGAGCATCAGGAACAAGTGTACTTCGGGAGCTGGCTCGGTCGGTCCGAGCGGGCAAAGCGCGTACCTGGGAGACGGGGAAGGGCGTCCTGCACGCGCCTCCTCGGGGCGAACGCGGTTCTTGGGACCGCGGGTTTCCCACCCAAACCTGCAGCCCTTCTCACTGACGAAGGCGGATGGACACCTGGGCGGGGCAGGGACGTCCCGACCACACCGCAGCTGACGGGAAGACAGGGCGGGAGGACCGCGCGCAGCAGTGCCACCGCCGCAGCGGGGGTCTCCGCTCCCGGCAGTCCCCGCCAGCCCCACCGCGGCCCGCCCCCGGCGTCGGGCGGCCCAATCAGCGGCACGGCCTTGCGCTGCGGCCCGCCCCGGCATCGGGCTGCCCAATCAGCGGCGCGGACTTGCTCCCCGCCCCTCACCTCGGCCCGCCCCCGACGTCGGGCGGCCGAATCAGCAGCGCGGCCTTGTGTCGCGCCCCGCCCCGGCGTCGGGCTGCCCAATCAGCGGCGCGGCCTTGCGCCCCGCCCCCCGCCGCGCCCTATACTTACCCCGGCCCGGTCGGCCCCGCCACCGCAGGCGTCGTTGGGCCTGTGCTCCCCGCGCGCTCTCCTCTGCCGCCGCGGGCCCGAGCCCTGCCGCTCTCCTTCGTCGCCTGTGTGTGTCCGCGGCGGCCGGCGCCATGCGGCTGGGCTCGAGGCCCGCGGCGCTGGGGCTGCTGCTGCTGTGCTTGGCGGCCGCGGGGGCCGGGGACGCCGAGGAGCTGCACTACCCGCAGGGCGAGCACCGCAGCGACTACGACCGGGAGGCGCTGCTGGGCGGCCAGGTGAGGCCAGGCCCGGGGGGGCTCGCACGCCGCGGCGGCCGCGGGCTTTGTCCCGGGACACGGGGGCGGCGGGCCCGGGTGACGGCCGAGCGCGCGCGGGCGGCGGGGGCCGCGGGGTCGCGGCGGGTCGCCCCACGCCGGGCGCGGGGGCTGCGGCGAGCCCTGCTCCTCCTCCATCTTGCCCGTGTCGCCTTTGCCCCCAAAGGAAGAAGTCGACGAATATGTGAAACTCTCCCCCGAAGAGCAACACAAGAGGCTGAAGTCGATCATACGGAAAATCGACCTGGACTCCGACGGCTTTCTCACCGAAAGTAAGGGCGTCCCGCACAGCTAACAATGGAGGAGCCCCTTTGTGGGACGCGCAGCGGCCGGTCCGCGGGGCTGCTCGTCGCGCAGGTTGCCAGCGCCGCAGCGGACGGCAGGGGTTCAGTGGGTTCATGTCCGGAAATCTTTGCACGTAGGTCCCGAGTCAAACAGTCGGTGCTTCCCCCAGGAATACGCACACCTCGTTGGCCCGGTCCGTGTGTGCAGGTTGCCCACTGAACAAACACCCTGTCCCTCCTGACTTGCATCAGTGTCCGCTGATGAGACCGCTTATGGCATTACGTGATTCGTTGGCCCCTTGACATAGCCTTCATTAGGAATGTAAGGGTTTGCATCTTTTTTTTTTTTTAGAAGTAGAAAAAAAAAAAAGACCTGTTGCATGTGGATTTACGTTTATCGCAGATTATCAGAGCTGGTAGGGGCCTTAGAATCCTCTTGTCTGCCTCTCTTTGTAGAACTGAAGGAGCTGGAGTCCACGAGGGGTGAGTGCCTTTCTAAAATGAGGTGCAAAGCCAGGACTAGAATGCAGACTTCTTGCTCGTAATTCAGTTTGTAAATATCCTTCACATAAAAAAAAAAAAAAAGTCTAAAAAAAAAAAAGTTTTGAAGGGAACCTGGCTGGTTTAGTTGGTGGAGCGAGCATTTCTTGAGAACCAGCCCCACGTTGCACATAGAGCTTACTTTGAAAAAAAAAAAAAAAAAGATCTGAGCGATCTTAGGTAGGTTCTCCAGTTAGAAATGAGATGCACAGAATATTAAGTGTGCCCATTTGCTGCACAACTCTTTCTCCTCGTTGCTTAATTCAAGTGGTGAACCCTATCAACTTTCCAAGTTGATCTTTTTTTTTTTTTTTAAGATTTTATTTATTTATTCATGAGAGACACGGAGAGAGAGAGAGAGAGGCAGAGACACAGGCAGAGGGAGAAGCAGCCTCCATGCAGGGAGCCTGACGCAGGACTGGATCCCAGGACCCCGGGGTCACGCCCCGAGCCAAAGGCAGGTGCTCAACCACTGAGCCACCCAGGCGTCCCCCAAGTTGATCTTTCCAAAAAACTCAGGGGATATTTTGCTATAATTCTTTTTTTTTTTTTAAGATTTTATTTATTTATTCATTAGAGACACAGAGAGAGAGAGGCAGAGACACAGGTAGAGGGAGAAGCAGGCTTCATGGAGGAGCCTGATGTGAGACTCCAGGATCACGCCCTGGGCTGAAGGCAGACGCTCAATCTCTAGCCACCCAGGGATCCCTATTTTGCTATAATTCTTAGTTAAATGCTGCTCACCACCTAAGGACTGAAGCTGCTGGAGAGAGAATTGCAAACTAATTGGCAAATTTAAGATGTGTTGTCAGTAAAATTGCTGCCCTCGGGAATATTAAGGCTTTGGTTTCTCTACTTTAAAATAAAAACAAGAGCTTTAGACTCTAGTTGCCCTCTAAGAATAGTTCTGTTTATCTTTGATTACACTAGCACGAACACAGAAGAAATTGATTTGGAAGACTTTGTAATACCTCTCTGTAAGGGCCTGTAAATATTCAAATATTTAATAATAAACTTTTTAAAGTTAAAAGGAACTTAGTTCCTTGCATTTTGAGAGCCAGGACTGGGCTCAGGCTCTTGTGAGAGAACTAAATTCAGTGGAAGGAGTTTGGGCGTTGGAACCAAACTTAGGCTTGAATCTGGATTCTGCAATTCCAAATAGTAATTTCTTGAGGTGTAAAAGAAATTAGAAATAGAAATGGAAAATGATTAGAATTGCCTGTTTTGAAAATCAGAGGCAACATATGCAGAGGACCTGATATATAATTGTTCAATGCACAGTTGCCATAATAATTATAATTCTACCCTAATTTAGAGTTTCAGGAGTGACAAAATGTCTTTACTTTTCTATTCACCTGACCTCCCCCAGACCAATAAAGGGGTACCACTCTTTAAACCCAATGGTATATCTTTAAACCAGATGGTATACGCTTGCTATCTTTGCAAATATTCATGCCCCCCCACCTTTTTTCTATAATGCAATGTAAAAAATATCTCAGATTTTTTTAAGTTGATCTGAATGTGGACATTAGAGATTTAGAAACTTACCCCCTATGTCTTCAGGTACCAAGTTAAGACAGCTGTTGCAAGAAGGGCTTAAATCATAATGGCTACCCATAACTTTTGTTAAAATTTCCTTGGAAGTTTTATGATGGGTGAAGGACATACACTGTAACAATGTTTCTCAAATTTCAGTCACTTCAATAGTTCTCCACAATTTAGGCCAGAGCCATTTACCTATCTATTATTTACTTAGTGTAGTTTTAATTCAATCCAACATAAAATTTATTTTAAAGGGAAACTTTATATTACTTTCTTTTTTAATCACTTAAAAAAAAAGATTTGTTGTTTATTCATGAAAGACACAGACTGAGAGAGAGAGGCAGTGACACAGGCAGAGGAAGAAGCAGGCCCTTCATAGGGAGCCCGATGCAGAACTCAATCCGGGATCTGGGGATCACGACCTGAGCTGAAGGCAGGTGCCCAACCACTGAGCCACCCAGGCGTCCCTTATATTACTTTCATAAATGGAAAACTTTTTTCTAATACGTTAGAATAAATAGGTGGTTTTTAACATATTTGTACTTCCTGAGAGATCTGTGATAGCTAGCAAACATTATCTGCAATTTTGTGGATGATAATTTTTAAAAGTCAAGTACTATTTTGGCCAATTGGCAATTCATTTAACAAATAACTTATTGAACCAGGTACTTTCTAGGCATTTAGAGTACCTCAGTGAATAAAACATACCCAAACTCTGTACTCAAGGGGCTTGCATTCTATTTGGAACACATATTGTTATATTCTTAAGACTCCAAACCACTCTCACCACTTTCTGTTCTTATTTCTATGAATACAACTAGACTAATTCTCAGTATTTGAAAACACTCAAGATTTTTTCTTTTAGAGAAAGTTTAGACACCATCCATTTCCGTAAATACCAGAATTACTGTCAACATTCATTTGTGTTCTGGGAAATTCTCATAGGCGAACTCAGTTCGTGGATTCAGATGTCTTTTAAGCATTATGCTATGCAAGAAGCAAAACAACAGTTTGTTGAATATGACAAAAACAATGATGGTAGTGTGTCGTGGGATGAATACAACATTCAGATGTATGATCGTGTGATCGACTTTGATGAGAACACTGCTCTGGATGATGCAGAAGAGGAATCGTTTAGGCAGGTGAGTGTGTGCGCAAGCTGTTACTTTTGATCGTATCTGTTTGTTTTTCCTTCCTGCATGAATGAGCACAAGAGAGTCTGAGGTCATAGATTGGGATCGCCTTGTTCTCTGGGCAATCACCCGTTCCACTTCAGTGGTCATTTTGATGGTTTCCTTTCTGGCCATATTTTGGCCTCTTTTTCTGCACTACCCAAACTATCTTTGCATCTGTTTTTCTCATCATTTGTCCTCATTTCCAGAGTTGCTTTTTAGCGTGTTTTGAATATGTATCTCAATATTTTATCTTTTGTTATAATTGAACAGTTTCCTATCATAGTTACTAAGACAATAGAGGTGCATTTCTATTTTTAAAGAGTTTAAGATTGAGTAATATTGAGTAATATTCCATCGTGTGTATATATCACACTTTATCCATCTACTGATGGATAGTTGGGTTGCCTCAACTTTTTGGCTATTGTAAATAATGCTGCTATGAACATGGGTGTACAAATACCTCTTTAAGACCCTGATTTTAATTCTTTTGGGTATACACCCCAAAATGGAATTTTTGGATCATATAGTAATTCTGTTTTCAGTTTTTTGAGGAACTGCCATATGGTCTTCCATAGAGGGTACACCATTTAAAATAACAAGTTTTTGGAGATTTAGTATCACTATGAGTTTTGTTGATTCTCATGGTTTAATTTGTCAAAATTAAAAAATGTCTTGTTCTAATGCTTCTTAAGCAAAGATGAGGAAGACTATTTTGATTTAGAAATTAAGAATTTTTAATTTAGTAATTTGTAGGAACTTTTCAAGACAAAGGACTACAAGCTTAAGAAATTGCTAGTTCAGGACGCCTGGATGGCTCAGCAGTTGAGTGTCTGCCTTTGGCTCAGGGCGTGATCCCGGTCCGGGGATGGAGTCCCACATCCGGCTCCCAGCGTGGAGCCTACTTCCCCCTCTGCTTGTGTCTCTGCTTCTCTCTCTGTGTCTCTCATGAATAAATAAAATCTTAAAAAAGAAAAATTGCTATTTCGTTCGATACTTTTATATTTCAGAGGTAACCATGACAACTTTTTTTAAGATTTTATTTTATTTATTTTAAAGAGAGAAAGAACATCAAGGCAGAAAGGGAGGAAGGGAGAGGGACAAGCAGACTCCCCTGAGAGCATATCCTGATACAGGGCTCAATTCCAGGACCCTGAGATCATGACCTGAGCCAAAATCAAGATTCAGACACTTAGCTGACTAAGCCACCCAGGCACCCCATTATAAAGACATTTTTTGAAAAGATAGTTTTTTATTATATGTGGAAAAAATAAAACCAAA